ATGAGGATTTTTGAATAAATAAAATTTCATAATTCATATTACTGGAATGATGTTTTGGCCCTTCTAAGGAAATAAGTGTATATTACAAATAGAGATTTTTCTGTGAAATGACTCATAAGTTAAACATATTTTCTATGTTCATGGCACTAAATAATCAGAGTTTATGCAATATGTTATTTTTTTTACTTTTAGGTACTAAGGTTATTAGAAGTTTTAAGTTTATAATAAATGATAATATCTTCTTCAATTGATATATTCATATTAAATAAAAGGTTTTCAAATTTTTATATTTTTTCAAACCGTGATCAAATGTACTTCAAGAATTATAAAATTAGCATGTGTTCACTAAAAATACTGGAATAAAACAATACAAAACATATAATTTCACATATAGATACCTTTTCCTTCCTTACTTCCAAACTTCAGAAATCTACTATGTATTATTTCATACTTTTATCAATATTCTATGTGTGTGTATGTATTTTACTTGGCATATCATGAATATCTCTCCAAGTCATTAATCTAGATGTAACTTATTCTTTCTCTGATAGCTGAAGAAAATGTTTTATAATGAATATACAACAATTGGTTCAAGCTTCCACCCATTGGTGGATATTACCTTCCAATATTTTGCCATTATAGACAATGCTTCACTAAGCATTCTTATACTATCCAGCAATTCCACTTTTGGGTATTTATCTGAAGAAAACTAAAACATTAATTTAAAAAGATATGTGGAATCCTATGTTCATTGCAGCATTATTTACAATAGCCAAGATACAGAAGCAACCTAAGTGACATTCGGTGGATGAATGGCTAAAGAAGATGTGGTATGTATATACAATGGAATATGACTCAGTCATAAAAAAATGAAATATTACCATTTGCAGCAATATGGATGGACCTAGAGGATATTATGCTAAGTTAAATAAGTGAAAGAAAGACAAATACCATATGATTTTACTTATATGTGGAATCTAAAAGACAAAACAAATGAACCAACAAAACAGAAATAGACTCCTAGATACAGAGAACAATCTGGTGGTTGCCAGAGAGGAGGTGGGAGGAGTTGGACAAAATAGAGGAAGGGGATTAAACGGTATAAACTTCCAGTTATAAAACAAATAAGACATGGGGATGTAATTTACAGCATAGAGAATATAGCTAATAATACTGTGACAATTTTGTATGGTGACAGATGGTAGCTAGATTTATTATAACCATTTTGTAATGTACAGAGATGTTAAAACTCTATGTTGTCCACCTGAAGCTAACATAATATTGTATATTAACTACACTTCAATAAAAATATAAGCATTCTTATTCTTATATCCTATACCAATAAAACATATGCATCTCACAGTGACAGAGAGAAAGAGGAAATGAGACTTACATTTCTCTTGGTACTGAATCTGAAGTGAAAAATATCTGGAGTAATATATAACAAAATTATTTATAGATATCTTGGAAAGGGGCCTAGGAATGGGGTCACAGGGCAATTAAATATTATTTTACAGATTTATCCTGCTATTTGTTTATCTAAAAACATATACTACCTATATACTCAGAAAAATAAATGAAATTAAAAATTTAAAGATATGCAGAAATTATTCCTTCTGCAACCAATTAACAAAGTAATGATATAGACAGTATGAGCATGGAAGTATATTAAATATACTGTGGAGGTTTTTTCCAATTATTTTCAAATAGTTTATTTAAAATGTATCAACAGTGTATTAGTTCCTAGAACTGCCACAACAAAATATCACAAACTAGGTGGGTTGAACCAAGAGAAATTTATTCACAGTTATGAAGGCTAGAAGTCAAAAATCAAGGTGTCAGCAGGTCCATGCTCTCTCTGAGGGCTGTAGGGGAGGAATTCTTCCTTGCCTTTTCTAACGTCTGGTAGTTACTGGCAACTATTAGCATTCCTTGGCTTGTAAGTATATCATTCCAATCTCTGCCTCTGTCTTCAAATGGCCTTCTCCCCTTTGTGTCTGTGTCTTCCCATGGCATTTCTCTCTTTCTGTCCGTATATCTCTCTTGTCTCCTTATAAGGACACCAGTCATACTGGATTAGGATCCTAAACCAGTATGATCTCATCTTAACTTGATTATATCACTAAGGCTCTATTTCTACATAAGGTCACATTCACAGGTAACAGGTATTAGGACTTCAACATATCTGTTAGGGGGATACAATTCAAGCCACAGCCATAGAATAGAAATGTGGAAGTTTATAGAACTAAATATTTTTTAATGTTTATTTTAGAGAGAGACAAAGAGCAAGCAGGGGAGGGACCCAGGGAGAGAGAGGGAGGGAGACACAGAATCCTAAGCAGGCTCCAGGCTTGGAGCTGTCAGCACAGAGCCCTATGTGGGGCTCAAACTCACACACCGTGAGATCATGATCTGAGCCAAAGTCAGATGCTTAACTGACTGAGCCACCCAGGTGCCCCTAGAACTAAATATTAATACCAAATGTTTCTGGCTAATAATATTACTAATTATATATATTTCATTCTTTGTAATTTTCAGCATCTTTTTTAAAGCTGAAAATGGCCTCTGACATTTTGTTACACACACACACATACACACACACACAGCCTTATCCTTAGGTGAAGATGGAATTTTCCATAGGGCTGATTTGGTTATACAGTGCTGCAAAAGTACTTGATATCAAGAGTTGTCTGACTGCTTGGAGTACATTTCTCTTGTCGTCTCTCTTCAGATCACAGTGTTATAATTAGAGTAAAAGGAACTGAAAATGATATATCCCATTTCATTAGACACACCACATCTTCTCCAACATGAACACATACACATACATCCTTATCTTTAGTTAATGGAATTTTCCATGGGTGAGCAGTGCAGCCTATACATCTTTTGTCTCCAATTGCCTGACTGCCTTGCAGGTGTCTTCCTTGTCATCTACCTATGTAGATGACTAGCTCTGGTCAGCAGCTGCTATTTATCAGTATTTCTATGCTTTCTGAGAAGAGAGACCATGGAGGGGAGGGGAGGGGAGAAAGAAAGAATGAGGAAAAGAGAAAGAAGATATTAAATTTTTTTCTTAGTGGTTATGATACTGTATGAAGTATTTAGCTGTATACATATACACATACATACAACGGAACACTAAAGTAGCCTAATACAATGATTGAAGTCAAAATCCTTGAAGTGATATGGAGTGATATCAAATTATATTAAAGGATAAAATTCAAAAATAGCATGGTTAAATTATTCCTTTTGGGGGGGAAATGGCACTAAAAACTGACACCATAAAAACTGACCCCATCATGTCACAACTCTCTACTTATTTTTCATTTATGGTGAGAAACTGTCCCTGAATCCAAAAAGACTGCATTATAGACATGGTGGTTTAGTTGACTGGTGGTTCAGAGTCTGATTTCTTGCCAACTAGCAATGCAAGCTGCAGTTATAGCTGCAACACATTTGTAATTTCTACTTTTGAAACAGATTTAGAGGTAGTGTAAGAATTAGTGATTTGAAATGTAGCTCATGACACAATTTGTAGCATGGTTAGGGCTACCACCAAAGATTCTATCACAAAGATGGTAGACCAGGAGTGAGTAATGAGTGACAGGAAGAGCAGGCCCACCTGCTGTGAATACAGATAGACATGGGTTCTGATTTGGGCTTCCCTGTTTTCCACCTGTGTGACCTGGGGCATGAGCCCAACAGTGTTCAGTTTCTTGCCCCATTGCAACATTGTGCTAGGTCTTTCTTTTTCTAATTTGTATATCCAAATAGGTAAAAATGAAATCCCTTTATTATTACTATTATTATTAACATTTGGATTTAGTTAATTGTTAAAGAGGTCAGGGAATTTGGGAGGGGGGGCGCAGAGGAGGGCTGTTTGGTTTTTGTGTAACCATTGGTCATTTTTATTTTGTTTGTGGGAATGTCACTTCCACTCAAATTTCTTTGGCCAAAGTCAGTCTATGGCAATGCCTAAATCTAAGGAAGTTGAGGACAGTCCAACCACACACATAGAGTGAGAATCAGAAATCGTAAGCAAACAATCATATTGACTACTTAGATAGATTTCCAGAAGTGAAATTTCTTGGTCAATGACAGGCATATTTGAAATTTCCCTAAATATAACTTCCAATGTTCAAAAGGGATGTAGCAATCAACTTTCAATAAAAATGTGCAAGAGTATCTATTTCCACCCATCCTTTCCAGCTCTGGATGTCATCAGGTTTTTTGTAAATATTTTTATTGAAATACAACATACATACAGTAAAGTATATGCATTTCAGTGTACAGCTTGATATTTTTGTTTACAAAATAAACACACCCATGGAACCAACACCCAGGTCAAGATATAAAACAGCATGTGCACCCCAGAGCTTCCTCCATGTCCCTCTCAGTCACTACTCTGCAATGTAAACCACTATTTTGACTTCTAAAACCATAGATGAGTTTTGCCTAATTTTGAACTTTTCATAAATAGAATCATACATGTATATCCTTTTGTATCTAAGTTATCTTGTTCAATATTATATTTGTGAAATGTATCCATGTTGTTTGTAATAGTACTTCATTCCTTTCCATTGCTGCTACAATTTTATTGGATGAATATATAACATCACTAGTTCACTCTATTGTTGATAAGCATTTGGGTTGTTTACTATTTTCATTATTTACTACAAATAACGTTGCCATGAACACTCTCATACTTTTATTTTGGGTCACATATATAGGCATTTCTGTTGTGTATATATACCTGACTGGAATTACTGGGTAATACGATAAACTGTAATATGTATAGCCCATCAATGTTCCAAAGTAATTCTATCAATTTATGTTCCCACCAGCAATGTGGGACAGGTTCTATTTTTTTTAATTTTAGCACTCCTCAATGGATGTAGAGTATTCTCTGATTGTTATTTTAAGTTGCCTTTACTTGATAACAAAATTGAGTGTCTATTTATTGTCTTACTGACCATTTGGATATTGTGTTTTTGATGCAGCTGTTCCAGATTTGTCAGTAACAATATTTGGGTTGCCTCTTCCTTCTGCCGCTCCCAGTACTGCTTGTGTGCTCATTGGGTGTGGACCTGATACCTTTTTTGTGAAGCCACAGCTGAGGAGACTCCAGCGCTCGCCATGGCTGACAAAAAGCCCAAGGAAGGTGTCAAGACTAGGAGCAATGACCATATTAATTTGAAGGTGGCAGGGCAGGATGATTCTGTGGTACAGTTTAAGATTAAGAGGCATACACCACTTAGTAAACTAATGAAAGCCTATTGTGAACGACAGGGTCTGTCAATGAGGCAGATCAGGTTTCTATTTGATGGGCAGCCAATCAATGAAACAGACACACCTGCACAGTTGGAAATGGAGGATGAAGATACAATTGATGTGTTCCAGCAGCAGACAGGAGGTGTCTACTAATAATGGAACCTGCTACTTTACTCCAGAATTCTGTCCTTCCAGATCAAGAAGACATTCTCAATTAGAAAACCGCAATTTGGTTCCACCACAGCCTTACTACAGTATAGTTTTCTCTAGTATTTCATTTTCCCCTTCCCTGTTCATTTACTGGATATAAAAGTAACTGTGTATGTGCACAAGCATATTGCATTTTTTTAACTAATTGGCCAATAGTATGTTTTTATTGACATCAAATGGAGATGGGAAGGGCAAATACCCCATTTCTGTGAAAATGCTCCTTTTCTCCACTAGTGGCGTGTTCATTCAGCTCTTTATATTCCAGTAAGTTGTTTTGCTCTCACTGCTTAACAAAACAAAGAGCAACATAAAAACCCTTGCATACCTTGTTAGATTGGAGAATTTTAATGTTTTTCATTTATGATTGAAAAACTAAGTTTATAATTTTTTGTACATAGCTGTTACATATAGGGCAATCTGTCTTTAGGTAGGGATAAAACTGAATCCTAGATAGCTTTCCTTTCAAGTAAAATGTCTTGTTGTTTAAATAAACTCCGTGTTTAAAATGAAAAAAAAAATAACAATTGGGTTGCTCTTATCTTTATTGATTTGTAGTTCTGTATAATTCTGAAACTAAGTCCTTTCTCAGATACAGGTATTGAAAATATTTTCTCCCATTCTGTGACCTGCCTTTCACTCTCTTAATAATGTCTTAATTTTAATAAAGTGGAATCTATTTTTTTTTTGTTTTGTTTAGGGTTAGTGCTTTTTGTGTCCTTGCTAAGGAATGCTTGACTATATCAAGGTCATTAAGACATTATCCTATGTATCTTAAATAACTTTCATTTGTTTCACCTTCCACTTTTAATCTATGATCCATTTGGAATTGAATTTTGCATATAGTTTGAAATTGATGCAAAGGATTATTTGGATTTATTGGCTAACCCAGGTAATCCAGAGCCACTTACCAAAAGGACCATTTTCTCCCCTGCTGCATTATAATGGATTGTTTTTATCATAAATGACAGTATACATATAGATCTCTTTTCAGACTCTACCATTGTTCAGTTTTTATATATTTGCAAAAATCACACATTGGTTAAATTGTTATAGCTTTGTAAAGTAATTTGATTTCTGTAAATCATCAAATTTTGTTTTTCTACAAGATTTTAATTGCTGTTATTGCCATTTGCAATTCTATGTACAATTTAGAATCCACTTGTCAATTTCCATTTTAAAAAGCCTACTGGGATTATTATTTTGTATTGGAAATTGAGTTATAGAAAATAAACATCTTTAAAATATAGAGTTTTCTAATTGGTGGCCAGTGTACAATTCTCTTTTTATTTAGGTCTATGTTAATTTCTCTCAATGTTTTTGTACTTTTCTTTGTAGAAGTATTGCAATCTTTTGTTAATTTTATCCCTCAATATTTGATAATTTTTTAAAATAATGCCAGTGGCATTATTTTTCATTTTATTTTCTGCTTGTCATTAATGTATAGAAATACAAATCATTTTTGTATATTATGATGGTTAATTTTATGTGTTAAGTTGACTGGATCAACGTGTGCTTAGATATTTCACTAAACATTATTTCTGGGTGTCTGTGAGGGTGTTTCTGGATGAAATTAGTATTTGAATAGGTGGACCAAAAAAGTAGTTTGCCCTCCATAGTGTGGATTGGCATCATCCTATCTGTGGAGGGGCTGAATAAAACAAAAAGGCAAAGGAAGAATTGAGCCCTTCCTACCTGATTGCTTGAGCCAGGATATCAATCTTTTCCTGCTGGCCTTGATCCTCATTCTCAGGCCTTCAGACTGACTGAATTACACCACTGGCTCTCCTGGATCTCCAGCCTGCAGATGGCAAATTGTGGAACTTCACAACCTCCCTAATTGTGTAAGCCAATTCGTCATAATAAATCCTTTCCTAAATATATCCTATTGGTTCTGTTTTTCTGGAGAACTCTGACCAATACATACAGTGACCTTATATCTGGCAAACTTGCTAAATTTATTTATTAATTCTAGTAAGTTTTTTTGTAAATACTTTTAGAATTTCCACACACACACAGCCATGTCATCTGTAAATAATGAAACACTTATTTCTTCCTTTTCAATCTTTGTAAGATCCAGTTCTCTTTATTTATTTTTTAAGTTTATTTATTTATTTTGAGAGAGATGGAGACAGCGTGAGCAGGGCAGGGGCAGAGAGAGAAGGAGAGAGAGAATCCCAAGCAGGTTCCACACTGTCAGCACAGAGCCTGATGCGGGGCTCCAACTCACAAAACCGTGAGATCATGATCTGAGCCAAAACTGAGAGTCTGACACTTAACTGAATGAGTCACCCAGGTGCCCTGATCCATTTCTCTTTCTTAATTTATTTTATAAAATATCCAGTTCAAGTTTGATTAGAAATGGTAATACAGACAACCAGGTCTCATTTCTGATCTCAGAGGGAAAGCTTTCAATATTTCACCATTAACATGCCTTGTGTTGGGAATGTTTTAAAACCCTTTATCTGATTAAGAAATTTTCCTTCAATTCCTAGTTTTCCAAGATTTTTTCACATGAATAAGTGTTGAATTTTATCAAAGGCTTTTTCTGCCTCTATTGTGATGATGATATAGTCTTCTTTTCTGTTAAGGTGATGGATTACGTTATTGCCTTTTAAATGTTAAACCATTCTTTTATTCCTCAAATCTAACTTGTTTGTGATGTAGTTAACTATCCTTATTATCCTTGGATATATATTGCTAATATTTTGCGTAGGATTTTTGCATCTATAGTCATAAGAGATTTGGTTGATGGTATGCCTTTCTTATAATGTCCCTGACAGGTTTTAGTGTCAAGATTATAATGGCCTCATAAAACATGTAAGGAAATGTGTCATTCACTCTTTTTTTAATTTCTGGAGGAGTTTAACATTCATGTTATTTTTGCCTTAAATATTAGTGAGAATTTACTGCGAATCCATCTTGATCTGGTATTTTCTTTGTGGGAATATATTTAATTGTGCAACCAATCTCTTTAATATGTATAAGATTATTTGAATTTTATATATCTAATTGAAATCAGTTTTAGTAAGCTGCATTTTTTACATAACGTGTGCATTTTATGCAAAACATCAAATTTATTGTTCATAATATCTTCTTGTCTTTACAGTATCTATAGATTCTATACTGATGTCCCTTGTTTCCTGACTGATACTTATAATTTATATTTTATGTTTTTCTTATAAGTATTGCTACAGATTTATCAATTTCATTAGTCTTTTCAAAGAGCCAACTTTTGGCTTTGTTAATCTTCTCTGTTGTCTGTTTTCCATTTTTTTGGTTTCTGCTCTTATCATCTTTCTCCTCCTTTCTTGCAGTTTAATTTGTTATTTTTTAATCTTTTTGAGGTGGGTGTTTATATCATTGATTTTTAGCCTTTCATCTTTTCTAATATATTCACATAAGGCTATAAAGCTCTAAGCACTGCTATAGATGCATTGGACAAGTTGTAATGTCATGTAATGTATTACTTAATTTTTCAGTATTTGGAGATTTCTAGCCTTTTTGTTATTGATTTCTACCTTAATTGCACCCACTGTGGTCAGAGAACATACTCTGATTCCAGCCACTCAAAATGTGTTGAGAATTGCTTTGTGGCTCAGCATATGGTCAGTTTTGATAAATAGTCCAGGAACAATTTGAAAAGAGTGTCTTCTACATTTACTTCATACAACGTTCTAAATATGTTAGAACATATTTGTTAGTCTTAGTTATGCTTCTATACCCATACCTTTGTTTTGTCTGCTTATTCTATCATTTTATTGGAGAAGGTGTGCTAAAATCTCCACATTTGTTTGTAGATTTATCTGTTTATGTGTGGAGTTATGTCAGCTTTCACTTAATATATTTTGGAGCTATTTTATTTTGTTTTTTATAATTTGTTGTTGAATTGACCCTTTAATCATTGTGATATGTCTAATATCTCTCATAATACTTTTTACCTTAAAGTCTAATTTGCCTTACATTAGTATAATTATAGCTGCTTTATTTTGATTCACGTTTGCATAGTGTATCTTTTTCAACATTCACTTTCAAACTTTCTATCTTCTTTAAGTAAGGTGTGTCTGTTGTAAGTTGCACATAGTTGTAGTTTGTTTTTATCCAGTTTAACAATTTTTGTGGGTTTTTTTAATGTTTATTTATTTATTTTGAGAGAGAGGCAGTGTGGGAAGGGCTGAGGGAAAGGGAGAGAATCTTAAGCAGGCTCCATGCCAGTGGAGCCTCACACAGGGTTTGATCTCACAACTGTGAGATCATGACCTGAGCCAAAATCAAGAGTCATATGCTTAACTAACTGAGTCACCCAGGTGCCCCTACAATCTTTATTTTTTAATTGGACTATTTACTCTATTAATGGACTATTAAATATAAATGTGATTTACTGGGAAATTTGGGTTTTAATCTACCATTTTACTATTTGTTTTCTATTTGCCCTCTTTTCTTTAGCCTGTTTTTTTTTTCCTTTACTGCTTTATTTTGCATTAACCAAGTTGTTATTTCATTTTTAACACTCTTGTAACTTGTCTGTGGTATTTTTTTATTAATAGTTCCATTTCGGGCGCCTGGGTGGCGCAGTCGGTTAAGCGTCCGACTTCAGCCAGGTCACGATCTCGCGGTCCGTGAGTTCGAGCCCCGCGTCAGGCTCTGGGCTGATGGCTCGGAGCCTGGAGCCTGTTTCCGATTCTGTGTCTCCCTCTCTCTCTGCCCCTCCCCCGTTCATGCTCTGTCTCTCTCTGTCCCAAAAATAAATAAAAACGTTGAAGAAAAAAAAAATAGTTCCATTTCTCACAATTACAACATCCTTCTTGGCTTATGAAAATCTACCCTAACATAGTGCTCTTACCACTTTTCAGACAAGGTAAGAACCTTATAACACTTCAACTCCATTTTTACTCTCCCATCTTTTGTGCTATTATCATGTATTTTAATTGCGCATATATTTTAAACTCCAAAAGATACTATTGTTCTTTTGAATGGACAATATTTACATAGATTTACCTGTATTAACTCATTTTAGTATTCTTCATTTTTTCTTAAATTAATTGTTTCCATTTGGGATCATTTTCCTTATGCATAAACAACCCCCTTTAGTATTTCTTTTAGTGCACGTCTGGTAGTTATAAATTCCCTCAATTTTTGTTTCTCTTAAACCTTTCTGATTCACCTTCATTTTGAAAGAATTTTTTCCTGGTTGGAACATATTTTGCTCAGCACTTTGCAGATGTCAGGTCATTTTCTTCTTTCATTATTTCTTTTGAAAATTAAGTTGTCAAGATTATTGTTGCTCTTGCAAAAATGATGTGTCTTTGTTCTCCAGTTACTTTAAAATTTTTCTCTTTGTTTCTGGTATCCATCAGTTTTACTTCAATGTACCTATTGTCTGGTTTTCTTTCTCACTATATTATTTTTCCATTGTTGCCATAAAGAATTACTATAAATGTAGTGACTTAAAACAACACAAATATGTTGTCTTATAGTTTTGTAGGTCAGAAGTCCATTATGTGTCTGAAT